TTATTATTATTATTATTAAGTAGAAGTGCCATAAACGTAGGAAGTGTATACGTATTTCTACATCTATGAGACGCGCATAATATCGTTCAGCGGGCTTAAAATGGCCCATGGGCCGCGAATTCGAGACCCCTGGGTTTACCTCGAGCATTATCAAGTCCAACCCAACCTGAGAAGTGGGGAGTTAAGTTTTAGTAGCAGTTTTACGGCACTTGCAACACAATACTGTCACATTCGTACGTGCCAAGGATTAGATGTGTTTCAAGAGAGTCCCAAACAAATAATAGAAGAAGGGCAGATTAGGACAACAGATGTTGGATAGAAAAGAAGAAGAAGCAAACCACACCAAGGCACCTGCCAACCACCCACCTGCGGGGTGGAATCTATGCCTGAGTTTACATCGTGCCTATCAGAGCCAACCCGACCTTACTTTAAGTTTTAGTAAGAGTTTTACGGCACTTGCAACACAATAAGGTCATATAAGTGCCGAAGATTAGATGAGTTACAGAAGAGTAACAAACACCAAAAAAAGAAGGAGGGGAGACAGAGAAAATAGAGGCGAGATCAGGAAGACAGACGTTTGATAGGAAAGAAGGAGCAAACCAAACCAGAGCACCTGTCCCCACTCGAAAGCAAGCTCTACACTACATGTATAGTATTACCCCCAGCAAACCATAGAACACTCAGAAACATTCTCACAGCTTCCAAGGAAGATCATTTCGGAAGCAGACTTCTGACCCTGCCTGTCAGTGTCAGGGCCAACCCGGACTGATCGAGAGGGATACAACAACATACCATCAGAAAGACCAAGATACCCAATAGAAATTCGCCCCACACAGGCTTACATTCACTTAGAAATATAAAAATAATAAATCTTATTCTAACCAACTCCTACTCACCTCAGAACTCATTATCCGAAGGCTGAAAGCACCGTAAAGCACAAATAGGAGGGTGTCCGCCCGTTTGAGAGAGGCGGAAAAAATTAACAGGCTCAATCTGCTCCTAATGCAAGTAGGCTACACTGTACATGTAATGAAATTGAAGGTCGATCAGAAACTTTTTAAAAGAAAGTAGGCTACACTGTACATGTCATGAAATTGGAGGTCGATCAGAAACTTTTAAAACGATTTTAACGAAGGTGAGACGCAGATCTAGATCTAGATCTATATAAAATGAGCTTCTTCTGATAAAGCATCGCTCACCTCAGCCGACTCGACCAACTGTGCCGTGCAAAGGTCACACACTACCAAATACAGTCGAACCTGCTCAAACGATCACATGACATCAAGACAATCACTTACAAACACGACGACGCC